CAATGCACAGGAGATATCTCCCACTGGCACCACCTTGCAGGTCAAGACGTCAGACTGGTTACATAGTACGACTACTACGAGGGACAAACGGGTGCCGCTTTAAGGAGATTCGTCCCGACAAACACTCTTCTGTGACGCCACTTGATGTTCAGTGCGCAAATGACCCCAGTTCTCAGGCTGCTGCTGTTGTAGTCGACCCTACGAGCCCTGTTATTTCGGAAAACAGTGGCGAAAATACCACAGACTCTTCTGTTGCGGCCGCTCCGACCATTTCGACATCGCCTCGTACACGTAAAAAATCGCCCACACAAAAGGTGCCTACACCGGCCTGCCGAGACGCGGACAGTGCTGCCAGCATCAAGGATGTGGATCCAAGCTTGCCTGCGGCTCAGTCCCTACCTCCTCAGGACACGTCTTCGGAAGACGGCTTCAGCCTGGGACTGGATAGTAGCATCGGACTGTCTAGCCTTGCCGATTTTGTCGTCGGCATGGGAGCTCCACGTGAAACAAAGCGAGGGCACACTTCCAGCTCTTGCTCCGATGAACGCAGTGATGGCCGTGGTAAATCCCAACGGTCCAAAAAACCTCGACCCTCTTCTGGAGGGTCGAACAGTGCGTTGTAATTTGGTTGAGCAAGTGTCCCCTGGACACTTTCCAGGACACCGTCTAGAACTATGCGTCCAGGTTAGTCTTTACTTTTTATTATGGCTACTACACTGCATATTATTTCATTGAACGTTCAGGGTTTTCGCAGTCCGGCAAAGCAGGCTGAAGTGATTAGTGTCGCCCGCGCTGCAAATTGTGATGTTTTGTGCCTCCAGGAAACAAATTCCTTCTCGCTATCCGACGTGCTTGCTTTTAAACGAAAGTTCAACCTAGATTGTTATTTCTCTTTCGCTACATCTCGTTTTACGGGAGTAGGTATTATTATTTTTAATCGAGCTCTATTACGGGGCCATCATGCTTTTTACGATGGCGTGGGCCGGGTTTTGGCTTTAGACTGTAGCTACTTTTCTTTCAGATTAAGGATACTGTGTGTGTATGGGCCAGCGCAAGCTGGACAGTCTGATGACTTTTTTAGAGACCTGGATGTGTTTTTTCTTGACGGTCGTGATGTCATTCTGATTGGCGACTTCAACTGCGTTCTAAATACGCGAACCGATGTACAAGGTCCTGGCTGGGGCCGGTCTGCTTGGAATTCACGCGAGCTGCGTCACCTTGTCCACCACTTTTCATTACTAGACGCGCGCAATGTAGTGCACGGAAATACCTTTGTTTGGACATGGCGACGTGGACGATTCTCCAGCAGGCTCGACCGGGCTTATATCCCACGAGCGTTAGAGGCGTGTGACTCCGATTTATGCGTTCCGTCCTTCCCCCTTTCTCCTGTGTACGTATCTGATCATCGGCCTATGGTCTTGAAGCTCGAAGTTCCTTTTTATTTTTCGGAAAAGCCATGGCATCTTGATGTTTGCGTTTTGCAGGACGCGCGCTCAAGATCAGATTTGCCACGCGCAATACGTGTGTCGCTCACGGCGTCTGGTCCTGAAGATTGGGATGCGCTTAAAACACAGTGGCGCCTGCGCTGCGCAGTAGAGGGGCGTTCGCTTCGTCGACGCGTTTCTGAAGAGCTTGCTGATACCGCGATGAAGTTACGCATTGCTTTGCGCGCCGAGACGCCTTCTCCTCTGATGCGAGCGTGGCAGCGTGAACTGCGTGAACGCTTTCAACGCTTGACTGCTGCTTCGTCCCTGGCGGCAGCAGCATGGTGCTGTAGACACAACCCATGTGCACATGTGCTGCGCTACGCGAGACATTCGTTTTTTGGGCAATCAGAGCCATCTGTCTCTATGACAGCACAAATGCCACCTGCGCAGCGGCTTCCTAGGCGTGATCGATCTGTTTTCTTGGCGCATTTCGAAGCAATGTCGTGTTCGGCCATGCGAACTAACTGTGATGAAACACCGCCAATGCTTAGAAATTTGCCCCGTATTCCTCAAGAAGCTACGGATTGCCTGCACATCCCTCCGTCGGCTGAAGAGGTAAAGGCGGCACTGAAATCTATGAAACGTGGAACGGCCCCAGGGCCAGACGGTTTTCCTGTTAAGCTTTACTTGACATTTTGGGATGAGATTGGTGCAACCTTTACCGCGGTAATCCGGCGATGCTACGAGGACGGTGTCTTTCCATCGAGTTTTCGAGATGGACGCATTGTGCTTATTCCAAAGGGTGATGCTTCCTCTGTTAATCTCGAAGATTGGAGACCTATCACGCTCCTCAACGTTGACTATAAGATATTCGCGGCGGTAGCCGTTCAACGTTTGAGGGGTCTGTTGAACACCCTGGTAGGTCATCACCAGACTTCATCAGTGCTTGGACGAGAAATACACAGCTTGTCTTATACCACACGGGATATCATAGCCTATACTCTCTCCTCCCCCCCCCCACTCTCTCTCTCTCTCTCTATATATATATATGCCTTTAATCGTATCCTTTTATACCCTCCTTTCCCCCATCCCTCGTGAGCTACTGTTGAGGTGTTGCACTCTGATGCAGACAGTTACGGGGCTCAAGTTCCTCTTCTTTTCCCTTTTAGAACCACATAAGAAGGCAGGTGTGACATCACCAAACATCACCTCCTGTAATTCACGGCGCGGTCGCTAGACCCGGCAGTTTGTAAGAAACGCATTAAAATCGTTATTTTTCCTGAAGTTTCTGACTGGAATGAAGGTTGTCTATCAATTTTGGGGCCCAATCTTTCAATTTGGTTGAATATCTTGACGGCAAAATTTTTGTACAGTATCTTTTTGAAGAGCGGGCCTGTTACGGCTTCAACTTTCTTACTACAATGGGCGGGCGAAGTACATGATGTTTCACCCCATGTAAAGTCGTTTGCGCCTCGTGGCACGCACGTGCCTCGCGGTTAAGCCGCATTTAGGGTTAACAACCATCGATCGGTGAGTGGCGCTGTGATCGCGTGCGAGTTCATCATCAACCTTATCATTAGCATTGACGCCTGACAGCGAGGCTGGATGATGGCACATGAAACTTGAACAGCCTTCTCTTACAATGTACTTCCTTGGCGGCTGGAGCGAGCGGTCGGCTCCAGCGGCGGCTCCATGGGGACGGCGCAACGGGTCCTTTCCTGTGGGCCCCTCGTGGCGAGTCGAGCGTTGGCGATACCGCCTCTGCGTTACCTTATGTTTGTTCTTATATTTGATCGAGTGTCCTGGGATATTGTAAAAGGTTGTTCAGCGTGTTGATCACTAATGATGTATCCCTTCGGCTGAAAATATCGTCGACGTAGAAGCAGTTCAATAAATGTTTGGTTTGGTTCGACCACGTCTAGTGTCTCCGTTCGTTTCGAGAGCGGTGTTCTCCTTCAGAGACCCCACAACTCCCAGCACTGTGCACATAGGCATGCGCAAGAGGGGGGGGGGGGGCACGCCCTAGTCACCTGAGAAGGGGGAGGGCACTGCAATGCATCCTCCCTATTGGGGAAGCCTGCGCGCGCCTATATGACTGCACTTCCGGAAACTCCAAAGGAAGGCGACTATGGGAAGCATATCATCGCTTCATTTGAATTTGTCCAACAATTCGGAAGAAATAGGATGCCGTCTTTAGGACTCGACAAGCGAACCTCGATCCCTACCTCTATTTCGCCAAATCTCCTGTTGGCTGGTTTGTGTGACCTTTAATCTAGCCGTCGCGCATAATACAGCGACGCGCAATATGCGATTAGGAGGCGCAAAAAAACGTGGCGGTGCATGATCGCAAAAAAACTAGAGTGAATCAGCCACGCGATTATAATAACGAGATGAAACACGGTGTGATGATGATTTGACGCTTCGGAACAGCATGCGGGTTTTCTGTTCCCCGAGCTCGACTTCTGGTGCAGGTGCATTGGACAAGGAAGCCGTGTATGGTTCCAAAACGTCAGATCATCATCCGACTGGGTCAGTAATCGAGTTTCATTTCATCCAATGCCTGACCAGACAAACTTTCGTCAAACCCTTCACTGCTTATCATTATATTTGCACTACCTCGAAGGATCTCTGCTCTTGCACTAGCTTCTCAAAGTTTTGTCAAAACGCACCCACCGAAACCTCCATCAATACCCATAAAATTATTTAGGTATTTTAATGGCCATCGGCTGGATTCTCTTTTTGGGGTGTGCAAACCAAGGAGGTAGTATAACATCCTTGGTGCAAACCTGTGTTGCATCGCGGCTGGGGCAAAGCGCTGGTGTAGCTCGGGTGTGGGCAAGTGCACCTTTTGCACCCTCCTGCCGACGCCTATATGGGTGTTCCTAAGATCACCACCAAACGCGAAGTTCGAAGCGCGCACCTCTTAAATGTGGCGATACAAAAATGAAAAGCTACAGCGGAACGCACTTCGATAGATCCGTACTAGTGGTAAACACGCTAAAGATTAGCTTGTAAACCATCTGCGCTGGCGATATTTCATTAAAGAAAAAAAGGCGGTGTTTTTCATGTAATGTAGAAATGTCGAAGTCTGTTGCTGCTAGTCCTGCAATTCAAGGAGAAATGAGCCGCTTCTTTTGAAACGGGCACGATACAACGCAAGCTACGGTGCTCGTCATTGCCGCTTCATTGAGATTTTCCAAGAAGCCGTGCTGTTTGTTTTGAAATGTTCCGACGATGCAACCCGCTGCGACTTCTGGCACAGCACCAGCGACAAGGTGAAGGTCAACGTTACGAGTGGTGAAGGTAGCAACGGACGGCGCGCAGCCGGTGTCGATCACGGAGGCCATGGGCTCAAGGTTGGTGTTCTGCGCCTCCACCGCCAGAGGCACTGGCTACCATCCAAGTTGCTGCGCGTTCACGCCGAGTAGAGTACGTCCACGTGTAGCCTTGTGGTGAAACACGCTGGTCCCATTCCACGGCGTCCAGTCTAAGAGCGTATTTGCTTGTTTAAAAATAAAATTGTACACCACCCAACGTTCCCTCTCTCACGTAGAAAAGAAGACAACAACGAAGTTTTTTTTCATTCTTTTTATTACTCTCATTATCAAATGCACTTTCGATTTTTTCTGTGAAGGACAAAAGAGGAACAGGCATCGTTCAACAACACATAAATCCACGAACAAACAGAACTGGCAGATACAATTAACGCAGTGAAAAAAAAATGAAGATGGGGTGGCGAAAGAAACTGATGGCGAGAAACACGTAGGTACCGACCCGGCAAGGAGGTTAGTAGTAACTCGAGAAAAAGTACACCTCAAGGTATAACAGACCACCAGAAAAAGACTGCTCTCTAAGCCACTCGCAGAGGCACACTTACCGATACACACATAGTATATAGATATACTCGAAATGTGTCGCACATAGATATATCATATAGGCAGTGCCCCCAAGAGAGAGCGTTTCTCGACTCCTCTCGCAAAGCGGTCGCGACGGAAAACCGCCAAAAGAGCAAAAAAAAAAAAAAAATGGCGTCGTCCGCTACTACGCGTTTCTGCTGCGCAGACAGACGATCGGCACTGTGTTGCGCAGACGACATTGCGCAGTAGTCCACGCGGCTGCACAAACATGGCGCCGCGGCCTATCCTCTTCCATATTAGGAAATTGTATGCCCTCTCCCACCATCCCGGGGCCCGGTGCCGCAGCTAAAAGAAAAAAAAAAACAAAAATGCCGGCCGACACCACCGAGTACGGCGTTCGCTTGCGTCGCAAATGTATAAACTACTACCTATCACAGATGGGCATTCTTCGGTGACTTCACACACGACGTACGATGTGCAAGAGGGGTAGGTAGTCTAGCAGACCGATTGCGAGGTGGATTTTACAGCTTGAAATGCAAAAGGCGGATACTGCAAGTGCCAAGCAGCGTCATTGGGCATCACATCATGCAGCACAGTCCCCATTCCAACTTGTGATTCAACTTGAACCATTTCGATGAAGGCCTAAGCAGCAGATGTGATACGCCTTTCAGACAAATCAAGCAGCTGTCAAAAAACTATACTCGTTACTTGTGAGGGAGCAGAAAATGAAAGATACATTTCAAAGTTTTTTCAGTTTACTCTGCCACGTAAATGTCAAGCTGGTACGACTGAGATGCTCGTAGTTGTCACTAAAAAACTGCCCGTCAGTTCGATACAGCTCAAGCTCAACAAACCCGAGAGACACATAGTAGCTCTAACTTGCAAGCTAAGGTGACGTCAACGATGTATTCCCAACCTTCAAGATTAAACAACGTTGAATGATAGCTTTCCGGGACATTGCCATAAACTCGAGATTCCACCGAGCTGACGGAAGTACGGGAGGTGTTTCAACACCATGTTGTGTATTTGAATAGTGGTGTCAAAATTTAGCAACTGTAACGGTGTGCAGATAACCAAGAGCTGATGAATAAACACCGTTACGCAACCATTACCATCACACTTTGGCACGTCCGTCCCATGTCGTAGGAAAGGACCAAAGCTTCCGAGAGCTTGCTACACTTACTTTGTTTTCTTAGCTCTAGCTAGGACTAACACTTAGAAGCTTGTGAGAATGACCATTACACATTCCTTCTAAAGCAAACCCGGTCAATTTTCTCATTTCATTTTAAATGGAAAGCTGAAAATAGAACTCCTGAAGACGTGCAAGCGAAAAGGCTTTCTCAAGTACAAGCAAAGCCTTGACAAAATATTCTGCATCTGGTTCGAAAGACAGCATTGCATCAGACTGAAGGAAAATGAAGTGTTTTTTTTGTAGGCACCCTCACAGCCGTACACCATGGAGGGGTGTGCACTTGCCCCACTACACAGGCACATGAATTTATGCTTGGCCCACCATCTTGAAAGTGCCATAGGAAACAACAGCAAAAAAAAAAGTCACCACAATGCTAACACACAGCGAGCAAGCGACACTGCAGAAGGATAGAACACAACTGTTGCACCAGACACACCACACAAGCGCTAACGAAGATTAAAAAGGCTACCCACTAGCAAGCTTAGCGACGTCGAAAGTGTTTGACGAGCAGGTTCACGACCAAGCTGCACACGCAAGGACTCGCAAACCCAATGCAGTCATCAGCGCACAGCTTGAAATAATCCCTCTCCAAAATGAGAGATGCCGAGCTTGACGAGCGAAGCGCTTTTTTGGCAATTTACGGCAAGAACTACCTAGTACCCAAGACGACTTGCGCCGGAGCTGCTTAACTGCTGCGCAAGCGTCGTTCCACACGTCTCAGAACGCTTAGTCTTCACCGTGCGCCAAAGGAACACAAAACTGGTGGAGCGGCATTGCGGTTCGGCACCACGACTTTCCAGAGGAGTGCCAGAATTCCACAGTGCCCAAAGCTCCTTAATATAAGCACGTCGTAGGTGTTGAAATGCAAGGAGACTATCTGTTTCTTTCTTCGTCACATTTACACACACAGGCCTAAATGCAGAGTGGACCCTCGTGTCAGACACAGCTCAGAAGACTTCAGACTCCTACAACTCACCCTTGTGTAGACAGATAATAAAATGATGAAACATTAGTTTAGGTATTTCACGTCGCACAGGTCGCAAACGTTTTCGCGCTTCCTCTGACGAAGTCGCAGGTAATTAACTGACTTTTGGATCCAAGACTGCCTTGTCATCCCTGTTATGTCCACCCTGCACAATTCTTAAAACTTTTTGATAACAGTTCAACTTAGATATATCGTGCAATGATATAGCAAACTATTGAACTGAACATAACAAATTCAATTGAAATCACCCCTTTCCAATTGCCCACATAATAGGTGCATTGATGCGTTAACTTCGCACTAAAACAGACTTTCTTGTAAGGTTCACCAGTATCCTTAAGGAAGAAAAGGTGCGCTGCTTAAAGAGGCCCTGAAACACTTTTTCGAGTAACCACAGAATGAATTCACTGAAAAAGCTTATTGCCACACGAATTCAACGCCGCAAAAATTTTAAGAATCCGTCCAGTGCGAGAGGAGTTACATAGGTTTGTCGCATGCTGCAATTGCATTCTCTCTTCTCTCGTCCCGACGGAAGCGCTGGAAGCTAAGCAGGGAGAGATGGCAGGGTCACAGAAAAACGTCACACTTTCCTCGTGATCTTGAGCACTTTTTTTTCTTCAAATGCGCTGCTTTTTAGTGTGATCGCGATACGCGTGGACAAGTCGCGGCCTCCGGCAGCGATCTCTGTAACGAGCGAGCGCGCCATGTTCAAATCAGCCAATGGCTGATACGCCCAGAATAGACAGGCTTAATATGTGTGATTTTTGGGCATATTTCAGATTTGTCGAGAGAGGAGAGCAATTTTTAGCTGGCTTTGATAATTTATTGTGAATTTCAGGCCACATGCTGTGCTATAATATTTGACTCGCATGTTGTCGGGAATTTCTAGTACCGATCGGCAGCATTTGCTGACCATGCTCAAAAAGCGTTGCAGGGCCCCTTTAACACATGTGGGCAGGGGAATCTCTTAAAAATAAATAGGCGGGTCTGAACCTTTACGGACACGTTATATTCTCAAAAGCACTGTGCAGATGAAGTACACACACACATGCCAATGTAAAGACACATGCAGCACATAATGAAATGAGCAATTCTACAGGCTGTAGAAATGTGCAGAAAACAAGTGTATATATTAAGGTCCTTGTGCAATAAAAAAAAGGTAAATACCGTGGGGGTGTGTGTGAAAGAACCTGAAGTTGCTCACATAAACAGCTTCTTGACTAACGCAATGTGTGCACCTCCATATACTTTATTTTATGTATATATATATATATATATATTTATGTCTATTTATATATGTACTTATGTATAGATAGGCATTGTCTCAGTTGCATAAATGCAGGGAGGAAAAAAAAATGAAGGTCTGGATTAGCGCATGTTGCATACAGCAGCCAATCTCGGACAAAAGCGAAAAAAAAAGTGATATTGTATAAAAAATTAGTCGGGTGCTTCTTTGTACAACGTAGAGCAAAAAATAAGGCATATGGTGACGTTCAAAATAAAACAGGCAGGCGAGTTAATTCTAGCAGCAAAAGTTCACTTAATTAGCTAGACGAGTTCATTTGCACAACTGCCATGATTCCATCCCGTTTGTAGCAGCCGACGGCCAAGTGGCATGGCCTGGAACTGCAGCGCACGACGACTAAGCTTTAAGAAATGGAGGACGCACGCAAGTCTCGGAATCGTAAGAAAGCATACGCATGCAGCAGATTCACAGTGGCATAAAAAAAAATTTCAAGAGAAATTATAGACAAGTTCCGGCACGAACAACCCGTCTCTCCCCGCACACACCAAAACTTCTGGCATGGAAGCTCGAGGGCACCAGTGTACCACTAACATTACCCATGCCTCTTTGAATGGCTCCCGATGGTGTGGGCGTACATTGATTCAATGTCACTTTTGTTTTCTTTCTTTTTTTCACACGCTGTATGTTACAGCAAGTGGGACATAGTTCAACTGGAGACATGACCTCCACACGATGTCCCCAAGCACTTCACGACGATTGCATCGATGTCCAAAACACTCACGACGTCAGTTACTTTGCACCGACCGAGAAAAAGAAATGTCTCTAGGGGACAGCCTCGGCAACACAGCAGTTGACAGTGGGAACAATGACAGTGGTATGCTTTTTCTAAAGGATGATGATAGATGCTGGTTTTGTCCTGGTTTGATCACGATTGGTCCGCATTCCAATATTTCTTTTGCAGGGCGTGTTCCCAACATCCGAACATTCACACATTTCTTTTCCGTATATCAATTGTCACATTCTTTTTCGTAAACCAGAAGCAAGGAAGTATGGAATATGCAGTGAAGACTGAATAGCGGTCTGGTGGCCAGCCGAATCCTCCGTCCAGGTATCTGAATAGCAAAGACATTCTTTGCTTTCGTCATTACGAAATGCTTCCCGTATGTCTTCTGCACAAGACGCTTTCAGTGCTCCAATCTTGCACTGAAATGAATGACATTCTTTGCTTTCGTCATTACGAAATGCTTCCCGTATGTCTTCTGCACAAGACGCTTTCAGTGCTCCAATCTTGCACTGAAATGAATGAGCTTGCAGCTTTTCTGCACATTTAAACGAAATGCTGCAGGGCTTAAACAAAGAAACTGCACTTTCACAAGAAACAAGCAAACAACTTTGCGATTAAGTCACTGCGAGCACACACCTAATGAAAATGCACCAAAACACGAACTTGTGTTGAGTGCGTCCAATATTTTTACATATACAGCCGCAATTTCCCGGAGAATTCCAGAGAAAAACGGGCCAAAAGAAAGAGGCCATCACTTTGTAAAAATTAACATGACTTGACACAGCAGGTGCCAAAAGTACCAACTGCCGAAACTATCCTTCGCAAAACTAAAATAGTTGATACTCACGGTCGAAAAAACTGAATTACCAATATTGCATGTAACTAAAATGCACCTGAAGCTTTCAATCAGGTGTTTGATTTGGTTATTTTGAATCTTCTGGCAGTTGTCGTTCAAGGCCTCAAAGCTTTGACCTCCTGCAAAAAGAACCTCAGAAATTTTGACGAAAGCTTACTGCTTCCGCAGAAAACATGCTAATGAACAGACCTAATCAACAAGTGTACAAGAAGACGAGATTTACTGCATAGGAACAGCATACCTATCAAAAGCAGCATTTTGTTTTGAACAGCTGTGGCAGATTGCGTCTCTGGAGTTGTGTCACCGAACTGAGCACACAGTTCTAAAACAGTAGCTGGCTGCAATGCCCTGCAAGTGTCTTCCTAATTTCCGGTCATGCATAGTTATTGCATGTACCTCAACAAGTGTCAATAACCTGAGCCACGAGCAGCTGTCTCCATCACTCATGGCTTTGCATAAGGATACCGCTGCATCATTGAAACGAATTCGCGTTGATGACGGATATCGTGCTACAAACAAGCCGTGGCACGTTGCAAGCGCCTGCTCATTGATGAACAGTCTTTCTCGATGGCACGCTTAGCTCAGTTCTGCCCCTTTGAGGAAAACATGTGCCGAGTGGGAGTGTGAAACATTTTTCTTCGGTAATGAGAACACAGAACTGTACGATGATATTCATTTGTATTGCCCAGCCCCGGATAAACAATCGAAACCCAATGGGAATGGCGCCGACGGACAAACGAGGGATAACAGAAAACAAGAGTAAAAAAACAGGAGGAACGTGGGATATGCCGTGGGCCACACTGCCACGCAGGAATGAGTCATCCGTTGTCTAAAGCTGTCCTCTGAGAAGAAACGGGGAAGGGGTGGGGTGAACATCCGGGCACGACTTTTTTCAGGATGGGTTCTTGAGGATGCGCTTCTGACGAAAGTCGTACACGCGCCTGCAGAAGAACACCATCTGCGGGTCCATACGACCCGGGGGCAGCCTGTCGTGCCGAGGGTAGCCACTTTCTTGGTCGGGCACGACTGGTGCCGGTTGCCGAACGCCTTCTTCGAGCATCTTTGCTTTTGCTCGATACCTGCGAAGGGAAGGAAATGATGCAACTTCACGACATTGTCTTACCAGATCTGTAACAGTTTTCTGTGAGAAAATGTAGTATGACCAAGCTTGGATGAAACCTACATGGAACCTACATACTCTCTACTCTCATTAAACGGAACATGAACTTGAATTTGCTGCCGCGTAGGCTAGGACAGTGAAGAAAGCAAAACCAGCAAGGGGGAGGGGGTGGTGGTTTAGTTGGTACTAAGTGTCAGCAAGCATTGCCCTGATAGACTTTTTCCATATCTCCTATATGGGTAGTGCCAGGATACTTATCTTCGAAATGAATAAATCTGGGTGCCAATTTTGAGTTCTCTTTCACAGTCATGTATCAAGACATAGGAATTTGCAGAAGGTGAATCTTTAAAAAAAATGCCTGTATAGCTCATAAACATAGTCCAATGAATGAAGCTAAAAAAAAAACGCGAGTCAAAAATGATCTCTTAAATTTCTGACACTAACTGAAGTCGCTGCAAACATGAATATCCGCACAACAGCTGAACCTCTGCCTAAGAGACATTTAGCGGGAAGCATTTCTTGTTGCACATACAAGGTGTCTCTTCTAAGCAGAGTACTATGTATGAGTTTTCTAATCAACACCCATTTCAAAGCTTGCATCTTATACTCATTTGTCTCTAACATCTTTACTCTAATAATGGGGTTTAATTCCATAGCCAAAACAAAATTTTATTGCAATAGCAATTACATCGACAGTCTCGGCTGGTTTTTGCCATCGCCGCTGTCATTCACATATATGTATATATATATATATATATATATATATATATATATATATAGGGAGAAAGATGTTCTAGCTTTTTTTTTTTTTTTTTTTTTTTGCAGAGCAAATGTCATCTTTCCAGCCGAGACCATCTGCACGCGCTTATCTTGTGAGGGAACAAGGAGGAAGGGGTTTTGTGGTTGCCGTACTATCGCAACAATGATCAATGCGTGCCTCGTGCCCCCACAGCAGGCAGAAGCTTCTACAGTTTGCGCTCTCAACACGACAAAACGGTGCCAAAAGTCTACCTGGAGCAGCCGGGTTTGCTTATGGCGCATTTACACTGACATGACACCGATTTTGGTCTGCCGACTGTCTCTGGGACTGTTTTTTGTCATCATATTTACACTAGAACGACACAATCAGTCCACTGATGGCCTCTGCAAGATTCCATCCGTGCCTTGTCGTGCTCACAGCCGTTTGTTGGCCAATTCTGCAGTCACAACGAAGGCACACGCAGCACACACCTGCACCTCATTTTCAGCCATGCTCCCGGCTCTGCCACTGTCCCTCTCCACTTATGGCGCACAGCCTCTGCCATAATCTAGGGCGTCATGGGACGAGGCAGAGGATAGACAAATGGAAGTAAAAAAAAAGACTTCTGTGGGTGCGCAAGATAACCCCGTGGAAGCCTAGGAGGGGGGGGGGGGGGCATTGTTATCTCCCCCAAGCAAAGACATAAGCAAATTTTCGCTCAGCCACAAATCTCTTGACACGCCGACCGAAACAACGACTGACGGCAGACCTTGCCGATGCATTTTGCCGTGTGTCATTATGTTACACTACGACGACATGCTGTCTTTTGAAACAGTATAATCGTCGGCCGATGGCCTGCGTCTGCCTGGTGTTTTCATCAGGGTTGTGTCAGTGTCTTGTCACTTTAGTGTAAACGTGCCTTTACACCAGTGTTTTGTAGAGTTATACGAGATGGGACGCTAGCCTTGCTTTGTAAAACATTTGAAAATGTTGCTGTCACATTCATTTCTTTGCCCTTTTGGTGAAACTAAGTTTTTTTCCAAAAACTGAACATTTGTAAAATACAACAAGGGAGCCACCACACGTACCTGCAGTACTCGGCGAAGGTCAGCACGTAGCACTTGTCCTCAATGCAGGCGACGCTGTTGGCATCTCGATGCTTGGAGGCGAAAATCTCGTCCTCCATGTGGTGAGACTTCCGGCCCTGGTCCGTGTGCTCAGGCCGATAGTACCACAGAAGGCTCATCATCATCTCGCCATCGTCTTCATTCTCCCACAGCGCCGCCACCTTGGCCACGAATGGCAGGTCGATCTTGCGTGTCCCCGACCGAAGAAGCACGCAGTCCCGCACACGAATTACGTCACCCTCCATGTGCCGCATTGCAGGGAAGCACAACCGGTAGCGCGGAGCGTCCTCGTTCTGCCCCCCGGGGAAAAAAAAGATGAACACAACACTGGCTTATTACTCATCGGTACATTGCAGTCCATTTATAACGATATCTACATGGCAATGAAATCTCGTAAGTATAACTAAGAATCTCAAAAAGCTGGTTGAGAAAAGAAAAACAAAAAATCAAAACACTTTATTAGCATGCGAGTGAGGAAGTGTAATAAGGTACCCGTTTGCAGAAAAGCGATAGTCAGTAGTGAAACTATGTACTATCTGCGTCAAATGAAACCCAAACAGCAGCAAGCCTTCACGATGATAGAGTGCGCGTCGCCCACTTATCACCATGGACAGGCACACATATATGTGCAGAGTTGCCGAACAGGATGCGCGCGCCTGTCAATCCTGATAACTGGATGGCCCGCACTATACCATCGCGAAGGTTTCCGCTGTTCGGGTTTAATTTTATAGTGATAGTACTTGTTTGCAGAAAAGCCATAGTCAGCTTTGATTGCTACACACGAAACTCGTGCACATCTTTCAAGAGCAATAAGGTGCTCCACATAGCCGAGCAGGAGGTCCTTCACGAAAACAGTGTCTCAGAGGGACTATCATTCACTAGACCTCCTGCGATGAGAGCACCCAGGTAGGCTGCTGCCCAACCATGTCATTGAATCGCCTCTCTCATCGCTGTCTTCAACACATATATGCGCAATGATCATCTCATCACTGAGGCACTTGTACATTTTCGGGACATTATCTGCTCAAAGTAGAAAATTTAGACTTGAAGCATCTTCGTTAAGCACCAACTACAACTCCAGCAGCTATTTGTCAACGAGCACTGCGCAGGCCTCTCCTGGCATCGCTTTGGAAGTTCAAAAAGAAAGCTCCTCCTTTTCTCGCTTCCTCGTAGGAGGCACAGTCGACTCGTTTTCTGATGGTACAAATGTATAGCGACGCATGTTGTCAGCAGTGGAAAGCCCTTTTCAGTAAGGCTTAGCGAATATTCGAATATACGAGTACGAATCGAATTCCAACATATCGAATAGTTTGATTCGCAATGGAATCTGAAGTATTTGGTTACTCGAACATTTGATATATTCAGTGAGTGTTTAGTTGGTGGGTGAAACATGTACAATACTTTGAGACTACACAGTCTGTGAAAAATTACACAGTTTGAATGCCATGAAGCTGAGAGCATACAGAGTAAATAATTGCGGTGGTAACCCAGCCGAGCCGTGAAACTCAAATAGGACAGCCTTAATGTTTGTGCCACTCGCACAGCCTTCACTATGTCTCACTTCCAACACATGTAACAGCTAAACGGGTTCAACACAAAAAAACAAACGAGAACGAGTTCAGAAATACTGTAAGTTAAGGTGACGACTTCAACATGCTTCTTCTCAATGGCATTTCATTACTTGAGGAAGCACTCACTCGCCGGCACCGAAATGCACGTGTGAAGCTTCCAACTCCACTTAAACTGCGTCATGTCTCCAGCAGCAAGCGATACCGATGCTCACTTTGGACGGAAGTGAGGTGTACAGAGACAAGATGAGAAATATCAGCCGCGTTCCTGCAGCAACAATAAAATTCTCCCGCTGCCTCACAATGTGGCCTGCGCGTGCCACCGTAGCTGACGACGCAGTTCAACTGTTCAACACAATGCCTCCCAAGCGTCTGCACATGCGGGACTGCCACGCTGGCCGCACCATGACAGCATCACGAGGCCCCGAGCTATGAGATTTTCCCCAAGTGTGAAACAGACCATACATGATAAAGCATAGACAAGATGACCAAGGGCCTCCCAAATGCTACATGTGCTTCAATATGAGTACATGGTAATATATCACAACCCCTCATACGGAAACAACGTCTTGAGTAATGCTGTAATGCGGCTCATTAAAACTAAATACAGTCAACTGCCGATTTTTCGGACACCCGAATTTTCCGACATGCCCGATAATTCGGACATCTTCGCGGCACCGCCACAAGCCTCATAGAATCAATGTATAAGGAAGTCTGAAATTTCGGACGCACAAACCCCCCGGAGTCCAATTTTCCGGACTTTTTGACGCGACGGAAGGTCGGAAACCACCACTGACGTCCAGTGGAAACCACCACAACTGCGTCACACGCGATTACGATCGCATAAATGAGCTCGCCGGTCTCCTGTGGCGGCATCTCTTGCTTGGACTCGATCGTTAGCGGAGAAACAAACACGGCCTCCGAGATTCGCAACACTGGCCCCGTTTATCGTGCAAGGGTGCTTTGCTGACAATCGAAACTATCCACCCGGAAATTTTTTGGCGCCAATAAAGTTCCTTTCGTTTTAGCGCTTGTGCTCGTGCTCCTACTCTGGCTTCCCGCTTTCGTGAAGCGTTTCACAACTTCGAACTAGAAGTAACCGTCACACACCGATTTGGTTTGGCCACGCTGGCTATCTTGACTGTTTACCAGCACCACCTCCAGAGTACTTGAGGCAACTTCGAACTAGAAGTAACCGTCACACACCGATTTGGTTTGGCCACGCTGGCTATCTTGACTGTTTACCAGCACCACCTCCGGAGTACTTAAGGCACCGTCGCCTGCCGTCGCGCTGCTTCGTTTACGCAGCCCACATGGTGTTTGGCTTGCCTAGTGTGTGGTTGTGCGATCGTGTGAAGTGTGCTCTGCAACGCTAAGCCTAGGTGCTTCGACGCTCGTCAGCAAACTCCTTTGTTCACATTGTGAGGATTTTGCTTGCCTGCGATGGCCCGCACTCAGCCTTCGTTGTCCTCGCTGATGGCATCGAAGCGCGGAAAACAGTACCGTCGTTTAACGATGGAGAAGAAAGCCGCCATTATTAAGTTAGTTAAGAGTGGCCGATCGCAGGCTGACGTGAGCAAGGAGTTCAGCATTTCCGAGCAAACAGTTTCCGATTTCCTGAGGAACAAAGACAAGATCTTGAAAGCAGCCAAAAACCGTCTGGTGCCACAAAGATGAATGCAAGCCATGGTGCTCTTATCAGCTCTAACACCGGCTGCCCTGACAGAACCCGTTGTCGGCTGCATGCATTTTTTTAACGGCCCTTTTCAGAGCCATCCCACTGATGCTTTGGCAGAATTTCGGAAGTCTGGTACTTCAACCTTGACCCTCTTGATCCGAGAAATATCAACGAAATGGTGCGCTTTTTGCTTGCATTGAGAAATATTAGCAAAATGGTGCGTTTTTTCCGCTTGCATTAAAAATTATCAGTAAAATAGTGCGTTTTTTTGCTTGCATTCATTTTTTCAGACTGCCCGAATTTTCGGACGGTCTTTCGCTCCCTAGAGGGCCCGAAAAATCGGCAGTTGACTGTAGACCAAAAAAGAAAAAAAATGATTATGAAAAAATACAGACAAAAAAATGAAAAAATGTAATTGCTAGATATTACGATGTATAGTACTAGGCTTGTGCAAATATTAAAGCATTTGAATATTTGAACCAATTTTACTGTATTCCAATTTGCTTTGATTCGGATAAATATGGCTGAAAATTTCAAAGTATTCGAAATGAATGAATAAATGTATACTAGTAGATATGTAACAACCTGTAAAAGTGGTTCAATGCAGTAAAGCAATACTAAGCCACGAAATTACATAACCAGGAGAAGTTAACACTGCCGCAAAGCCCCACTTCAAGGTTAAATGAACATGGTCTAGTGGCTAAGGTACTCTGCTGCTGACCCGCAGGTCGCGGGACTGAATCCTGGCTGCGGCGGCTGCATTTCTGATGGAGGCGGAAATGTTGTAGGCCCGTGTGCTCAGATTTCGGTGCTCGTTAAAGAACCCCAGGTGGTCGAAATTTCCGGAGCCCTCCACTACGGCGTCTCTCATAATCATATGGTGGTTTTTGAGGCGTTAAACCCCACATATCAATCATATCAATCAATGTTAAATGAACATTAGACTCTCACATAAGTTCATCAATTATTTAGTTTAAAAGCTTGTTATACCGGCTTACATGCTCCAAGTACAGTAAATCTTAAAACTTGACACATTTTGCAGGTTATTTGCATTTTACTGATAGTCAAATCCTGCTACTATTAAAAGTTTTTTGTTTCCTTCGAACCAAAAGGAAAGGAATTAGCACAGGCCTTGTTTCACTTATGAAAAACTACCGTGCAGGTTAGTAAGGTCATGACAAATATGGCGATTTTTTAAACAATGACTATATACTATTCGAATTAGATTAGAAAGTGTTTGAGCTAGATCACTATTCGCTTCAAACCTGAAATCCTCTATTCGCACAAGCCTAATAGTATGGTGCACTGTTAATGGGAGAACTTGAATGAGCACTTTTCATATTGCTGGCTCCCTAACTGCTAGCGGACTTCGAAACATGGGTCGTGCACACCTCTAGTCTGTCAAGAAGCGCCAGAACTGTCAACCACTTGTGATCTCATGCAAATCTAAACCACAATGCTTCTCCAAGATAGCAAAATCTGGACAGGCACTATGCACAAGTGTTCTCTTTAACAGTGTACCAGCCTGTACAGAGGGGCACAGGTGTTTAGGGGTGAGAAATTATGCAAAGAATTAAAAGCTATACTGCTAGAATACGTTTGAGTACAGAGCCCATTTCAGTTTCCAGCCGTTTTTCAGATTCTCAGAGCACTTCATTAAATCGAATGACTTGTCTAAACAGAGCAGTAATACTCTCCGAGGCAAAGTCTAAAATGTATGCCAAGCAATGAACCATCCTCATCACCACTTACGTTCATGACGAGGACCTTCTGGAAGGGCTCGCCGTCCCAAGACCACCCATGGGCAAACTTCCTCCGCTGTGGTCGCTTGTTGTTGCTACTTAACAGCAGCCTCGGGGGAAGCACTACGGTGGCAGTCTTGCTGGCCTGCAGCAGGGAAGAGTTTTTGGGCACCACCGCACTAGTAGCGGAAGACAGCTGCACTTTCTTCGTCGTGGCCACGGAAGAGTGCGAGGTGGCCGAGCCGTTCTCCTTCCGCACCTTGGTCTGCGACGGTGGCAATGGGCTCACAGCATGTTCACTTACAACACCTTCACTGTCGTTTGTCACAGCGTTCGTTGTCACGGCACTTTCTTTGCTCGCCGCATGCACTGGTGCAATGAATGTGGAAGAGGGAACCTTTTCCGATGTTTCAGAAGGCTCCTTCTCGGCCGGAGGGGCGTCAGTCTCTGGTCCAACGGAGAGCCTCTGCCTCTTTTTCTCGGTAATACGCACAGCTGCCACATGGTTTGGCAGGGACTTCTTAATGCCGTTCTTAGACGCCGGCAGGCACACCTGGAGTGGTGTGGCGAGGAAGGAGAAAGTTCAAAATGACTGAGGCTACGCAAGTGGATATTGACACTTCGATCTTAGGACATTTAAGCACTTTATGGCATCTTGATGAACACGGCTTGTCACATGATACTGTCACTTCTATTGCGACAGCAATCATATGCAACAGAGCAAGTTAGGCTATCTGGCTTGTGTTCATATTGGAAAAGCGCAGAGACGAATCACGAAGGAAGTCTAAACAACACGAACGCCGATTTAGTCTTCCTTCACGATTTGTCTCTACACTGTTTCAATATGAAAGCCATCATATGGGCTCACAGCTTTGTTTTTTCTGTTGCCGTCATGTTCAGTAAATGCATACATTAGAATCACAATAATAATAATAATTTTAAGGGGGAGTGAAAATATTTCTATCGCCTGAAATTTCACACAACCGAAAAACTAGCAAAAACCGAATTCAGACTACCAGTGGGTGTTTTATACATACCATGTATGTATGAAACACCCACTTTTGTAGAAAGAACTTGCATACATGTTTCTGGATCACACGAAAACAGGCCAATAAAAGACGGAGCAGCTGGCTCCCGCGAACCCGTGCATTAGATCGTCGCCTGAGGACAGCTGAAAAGTAAGTGCTAAAATGTAGTCTCCCATAGCCATATTCGAATGACAGGAATGCGGAAATGCTGTTTCTTTTTACGACTTGATTGCCTTCAATCTACTGCCGCATAGTCGCTAACAATGACCGTGGTTTCGTGCACAGCGATTGTGGAAAACGTTAGATTACTGTTCGATCTGTGTGCATTGGGCACATGTGCACTTAGCTTCCAGAGCGTGCTGCTTTTGGTTGTCGCTCGACGGTCTAGGTACACAAGTCCGTATTGCCCATCGCAAGGTGGAAAAGTATTCAGAACATCAGAAATTTTGGCTCATTGGGCACAATGTAACTGGGCCGGTAAATTCTACAGCATGTATCTGACCGAAATCGTATCAGCTGGGTTTGTATGACAGTGATTATACTGTGCATACATCTGTGTGCATGTGTGCTTAAAACACTGACAGAAAGAGTCCTGCAGAAAACTTTTTCAAAGCATGCGACCCCGAAATCGAAGCAGCGACTCTCTTCAGCTGTGTGTTAGACCAACCAGTCAAAATTGCATACACAAACATCAACATACCAACAACAAGCTATTTATAGACCACTTACAGTAGGCGGTGCGCACTTCACTGGTCTGCTTGACTGTTGCAGAGGCTCATTTATTAACCCATGACATGGCACAAAGAGCCTAAATAGGCATGGTAAAGGGCATTGACACTCAGCCCGCATTCAACGCACGCGCTATCCCAATAAAGTTAGCAGCTGGCTCATACCTTCCTATGTGCTCTGCTCTTGCCATTTACTATGCAGCACGAAAAGAGAGCGCGAAAACTGCATAGCTTTTTGGAACAGCCACATTTCCTTATGCTAGCGTTTTGTAGAGTTACGATAGGTCACGTCTCAGAGGTGTTAGCTAACAGCATTACTTTGTAGAACACTTAATCAATTGCTATGGCACACACTTGAATCTCTCTTGTGGCAAAAGTGTGACCTCTTTGTGACTGTTTGCGTCGACTCACTCAAACTCCACTGCACTCAATCACAACTCAAGATCGTACCTTGTCTGTATCGCCGCTCTTTGTGAAGCTCCTTTTCACCAATTTTGCCGAAGAGCCCTTCTTGTCGCCAGTTCGCTCTTCCATCGAAGAGGCTCGGCCCAACCTCTGCTGTGCCATCACCGTGCCACTCTTGATCTGCTTCTCCATACTCCTCGGCCTCTTCTTCACGGGAACCACCGGTTCTACAGCCACGATGTTTGTCTCTGGCTGCAGCGTTGTCGTCGCGGTCTTCACTGACGACGGCTTGGGTGCATTCTTTGTCAGGACTAGTGGCTCGGCCACTGATAACTGTGCTTCCGGCTGGAACGGAGTTGTCCGCGACTCGCCGTTGGCCCCGCCATCCTTTCCCGCCGCTTTAGAAGCGTCCAAGAAGTCGTTACCCTGCGACGGTGACTTGGTCTCTGGAGGCGTGACGGGCTCTGACTTGGGCACGGCTGCTGCGGGTGCCGTCGTCGACATCTGGTACGAGTCGGTGGTCGACTGAGGCTGCGGAGCCGGGGGTGGAGCCACGGACGAAGACGAAACTTGGGACGAAGTGCTGGATGAGCTGGAGGCAGAGGGCGGTGCTTGGAAAGAAGGCTGTGTATGGTAGGGGCCGGGCCTATAGGGTGGGTAAGCTTGAGGAGGGGCGGGGCCAGAGGCGGCGCTGCCCTGGGGCGCCGGCGGGGGGCTGCAAGGCATGTGTTCGGAGTAACAATGTGGGGGAGGGGGCGGAGGACACAGGGGCGAGGCACAGTGCGAAGAGGAGAACCCGCCTGGGGGCGGTGGTGGCAGGGGAACTGGGGCGGGCCGGTGCTGGGGGTGGTACGGCACGGGTTTGTGAATGAGGCACTGGTCGTGTGGCGGCGGTTGGATCGTTGGCCCCGCAGGTTGGTAGTAGCCGGGCACTGGAAACACACAAAAATGACAATGAACTCTAGGAAGGTTTATTCTGCAGTGTGTGCAAACTACATTGAGGCTTATATTGAGGGCATTTGTTCAGTGGAGGCTTTCATACCGACCCGACTGAAATTCCGAGCAAGCGCTTTTTTTGGGTGATCTGAAATAAGTGCGAATTATCACTCCCCAGGACAGAGCAAGCGCCCGCATCCAAAATCTGGTCAGATTATCGTTCACGATTGAAGGGTGGAAGGAAGGGAGGTTTACGCTTGGCATTTTATGGTATATTTCAATAGTGCTGCACTAAAACTTCCAAAAATCAGACTTAAATCTTTCCAATAGTTTTGACATTTTATGTCTATAAGGAAAATATAAAATATTATTGAAATTACAGCTGCAACCCATCAGAACTGCAGTAAGAATCAAAAAATTTAGAATCGTGCATCACGCAACGCCTCCACGACATCCCCGACTCTGTCCAATATACTGGACAATGTGCTGCGGCTGAGTAATATAAAATACAGAAAAAAAAGAAACCTACCAGAAAATTTTCTGTATTGCACTGGGAAAAAGCATTTCTGGAAGTTTATCAAGAACCAATGACACTGAATTCACTCTGGGCACCAGAAGGATAGAGCAAGATATTTAGAGAGTTTGGGGAAATCTCTGGGTTTGCAGTGTCTCTCTGCAAAGTTATGAATGTAAAAATGTGCCCGTCGTTCACTCACTGTACTCCGCCTGTGGGTAGGGAACCGCGTGTCCATAGTGGGGCACAGTGAAGGCGCTGCCGTAGTGCCGGTGCATGGGTGCCCCGCTCATGGGCATCACGTGGTTCACCCCGTAGGCAGGAGGACCTGGTGCCGAGCTAGCACTGGCCGTGGGCGGGGGCATGAGCGCAGCCGCTGCTGCCATCGGAGGTGGACCCGTCAGGGCCGGAGGGTATGACGGTGGACCATAATACCTGCAAGAGGATGTTTGAAAAACACCAGATTGTGCCACCTGCGGCAAACGAGAGGACCCCGCAACAAAGTTTGCTTTTTTAGAAACTAGAGAAGCTTGAATGCATTAAGTGCAGCTCAAGAACTACGTTCCTGAAGATATCTTTCGGAAGAAGTTGAAAGTAACAGACATCCAAAGAACACTGCTGTTTTGTACATTATTGTTCATTGCTTCAATTTTATCTTGGCCTGATATGCCCCCTCCCCCCTCTATTTGCTGCCCGCCCTCCTACTGTATCGGTTTATTGCAACTAGGCCCTCTATTTCAAAACGTTGCCAACTCCTGTCCTAAGACCAGCTGTTACCTTTTGCCTTCAAGCTAATTGCCCTTGCCCATTTCTTCATTTCAAGTAATATGTCCTTAGCACTCATTTGTACCACTTTGCAAAGGGGGGTTACCAAGCATGTAACCCAAACCCACGGTACAAGAATACTTTAGGTGAGCGAACTCCGGAACTATCCGCTGCCCGATAATCTTCTGCCTCGCGAGGAGTCCGAGCATTTATCGTCGCCACACTACCCTCGCCACGCCACCAACCTCCTCCTTTATCACCCCACTATTTCCCGAGATAATTAGGTTTTCTCGAATTTGAAAACCGTCGCCCACGTGCCGGATGTGCTTTGCGAAATTTGCCAGCAGCCCGCCACGGTCCTTCGTCTGGTGAGCCATCTATTGGCATGCCGTAAAAAAAAAAAAAAAAACACGATCAGTCCCTCCCTGCCAAGCGCTCGCTTTGTGGCATTCGCTAACCTAAAGTATTCTTGCACGGTGCCCAAACCTAACCTTGGGTCCACCGCACGATACCTAGCACAAGGCCATCGATGCAACACAAAACCCTCACGGCTGACCTCCATTGCCTTGTAGGAGGCTGATATGCTAATAAGAACAGAAGTGATACACCTACCCAATGACATGAGCAGTCAGTGGGAATCTGACACGACCCATAATACACACAGTAAAGGTCTTTTGACTGTCAATGAAAATTACAATCAATACAACTTCCACAACAGCCTCAAGAGTGCCATCTAAATTTTGGCCTAAGGTATGCAATCACAATTTCTTAAGAATCTCAATGACTGCATTTGTATTCAAGGAGCCAGCTATAGCAATTGTGGCAGCTAAAATTTATAACATGCAGAGGTTTATAGAGTGCTTACTGACACAGTAGTCAACAAGCCAACACTCGTTTAGCTCTTGGTGAGTGAATAGTATTTATGTGTATAATGTGGGTTGTTCTGCTCCAAGATGCAAAAAATCGTACCACTATTGTTTTAGCACCTGAGCTACAAGTAATGATCAACACCTACTTCAAATCAACTGAAGCAATGCTCAGACTGGCATTCATTAAAGCCAAGGCATGGTTGCACAGCATTCGAAATAACAGAACCCTGACTAGCTAATGGAATAGTGTGCTAAATGGTATGCCTCAGGCACGTCAGTAGTTCTTGCCGTTTTTCACAACGCTTTTACCATTTGCATCTGTGCTATGCATTCATTATCTAATTAGCTTCATAGCCCACGGCAGTGTTCTACACAGACTGTTTCTGGCAATATGGTAGCAACATGTGATTTCGTGTCTACATGCAACACCATTTTTGTAATTATAGCACCAACAACCCTTTCTGCAACCCTTTATGCAACAACATTTTTGCAACAGATCACGCGCGATTGCACGAAAGTGACTGACTTTCTGAAAAGATTCTACCGAAAAAATAAATGCCGCCAGCTTATTCGAACGCAAAATTTGAATGCTAACTGCTAATGCTACTCAATAACGTCTCCGTGGCGGGAAATGAAAGTCATCTACGAGAGCAGCTGCTGGAGTCGCGTCTTCGGGACAAAAGACCCACCATGCACACTCCGAGAGCAAACCCCGGTCATACCCCGGTGCCTGAGGGCCCAGCACTGCGGGGTGTGACGGGACGGGGCTCGGAGGTCCGTTGTAAGTCGTCTGCATCTGCATGCAGGTGGCCTTCGTGTGGTAGTGGTAGAGGTGCGTGACACCCTCCTTCTCGCGCCGCTCGTCCTTCACCGCCATCTCCTTGGTGGTGTTGATGCGCACCACCTCTCGGTACTCGCTCACCGCCACCGATGATGAGGACGCCGCCCCGTCGGCTGCCGTCGACGATCCCGCCTTGGCGTCATTCTTGCGCGGGCGCCTGACAACCACGTCGCCGTGCGGCCCCTTGGGGGCGCTAGGCAACACTGGCACTTCAGCCTTCTCCTGCACCGTCTTGTGGACGGTTTTTGTCTGCACTGAGCAGACAACAATCTCCTGCTGATGGTGGTGGTGTACGACCTAGCAAAAACAAGAAAAAAAGTGATTGGAGATGAATGGTTCGGTGCGACGACGAATGCTCAGCATGGTGGCTTGCCTCCATGCACCTGCCAACACGTGCACAGCTTTAGGTGGCACAAGAGTAGGAATTCAGAAGGATGGACATGTTGGCAATCAGTCACGGGGCAATCATAAAATCAATGAGTTGAAAGTCAGGCTTCCGTAACTCTCAGCCTGCTACATAGGCCAATTTCCTACTTACTAATCACTCAACGCATGCGCTTTAGTGTGTAGCTACTACCCCAAACCCTATCTTCTTATCAGTGACCTTTGGTTCCCCTTCCTTAAAAAGTCTATCTTATCATCAAAACCTATGCTACTTGACAACACATATGTAAGTAACCACATGCGCATGTAACTGTTTTCACTGGTTACGTGAATGCTTCAGACCCACAATAATAAACGCGCGTGAGCAGCTGCAAGCAATTTTCAAGCATAAGTGCCAATTTTACTCAACCAACCTACAGCTAATAGTCACTGATCATCTTACGTTTTTCCTCATTGTTATCGCCCTCCCCCCTTTAAAATTCCGCACCGTACATGACAGCACGGTCAAAATTTTGGCTATCATGTGCCTCGTGACAATCCAATAATGTTGTACAATAGCTGTTTCCAGACACAAAACATATTGCAAAAAGAGATGATCGAACTGATCAAGAGGCCTGCTGATAAACTTTTAACACACAGCTTCTTTTGGAGCACATTACAGTGAAGTGGCACGCCTCACAACATGCAACAGTAGCAACAGAGGCAAAGCACAGAATTTTCCCCGCATCATCAAAGACTTCTAATTATGCAAATCAAACAGCACACACGCTATCCATTATCTCTCATTTACTGTAGAAACTAAGAAAAATAATGCTATGCAAAAAGCCCTCCAGTTAGGTTACGTGAAGAAGACCACAAGTTATCAAACAAGCTCAGTGACCTTCAAAAGTTGGATTAGGCTGTTCCATGCGATATCAGAGGTGAGTAGTGGCAAGTAATGCTTTGCCTGCCTTTCAGTGTTTCCGAAATTCCCATTTACCGTATTTACTCGCATAATCCTCACACTTTTTTTGGCAAAAAACCGATGCGAAATTGGGGGGTGCGAGAATTACGCGGGGAGAACTTTTCACGAAAACGTACAGAGCAAAAGAAGAAAACGAGGTGGCCACAAATCGGGATTCTCACACCAGCAACTAACAGCAAGCTTTGAGAAGAACTAATTAAACTCATCCCAACAATAAAAGCACAGGTTCAACACATTGCAAGATTTATTTAAGACACAAAAAGTGCAAGCAAATAGTTGAGAATTAGAATACCATACGCAAAGCTTGTGGGCATTGCGGGCGTAGCAGTAGCATTTCAGGACAGGAGCCCTCAAAAGGTAAGCGTAGGACGTCAGTATTGGGCTGATGGCTATATAACCGAATCATTCGCAGTTTCCTTCTGAAGAAATGAAGTTCACCATCAATTCCAGTTTTAGGCACACGGCAGGCCCAACGTGTCTTGGTGGTTTTCAGCTGCCGTCGCCAGTAGAAAACACAAAACTCATAGACTCCGAAGAGCCTACCGGCGGCCCTGTTGCCATTGTTCAGTGCATGATCTATCACTTTCAACTTGACAGCCGCCGTGTAGCTTCAGTATCGCCCAATAACATGACAAGATTACCGACACAACATACAAAACACGCCGCAATGCACACTTGCCACTTTGGCTTGAATTGAATCTCAGTGCAATAATAGTGCGCTTGATGCTTAAGAGATGGCGCCAGATGGCGTGCGCTTTCATCATCGGTGGCTGGAACGAGCAGACGACATTATTGCAGCAGTTTTCAGGGGTGCGATAATTACTCGAGGAAAAAAAAAAAAACGTATTTTTGTTGGGTGATGTGGGGGGTGCAAGAACTATGCGAGTGCGAGTAAATACGGTATACTCAAACCTAGCATCTGAGATGAAAATGAACTTCGTTACAAAGCTAGCGTAAGAAAACAATCACAAAAGGAAAAGGGCACCTTAAGCTCGCATGAAGCTGCTGACGAGGTTGACGATGAGGAAGAGGAGGAGGAGGAAGAAAATGATGATGGAGATTCCTTGTCAAACTTGCGGCTGCTCCGCTCCCGACTGTAGCTGGCTGCCATGATGGCTTGTGCGTTGAGGCTGGCCATGCGGCGGCACTGCCGCGTGTCGATGATCTCCACGTCGGCGTCGAGGACATCACGCTTCCTCTTGATCACCTTTCGGGCGACTATGGCCTTTTTCTTCCGCCTGGTGACCACAATCGGAGCGGGAGGAGATGAGGGCGGAGGAGACTGGGGTGGAGAAGACTGCGGCGGCGGCGGAGATGGCGATCGCAGGTGGTCCGTCCTCAGCGGCACCAGGGCCTTGCAGTCCTCTTGCGCGTCGTCTGCTTCGACGATGGCTGGGCGGCTCTCGTTTTCGTACAAGATGTGCACCTGCAGAGAGGATGTGCGCAGAACGTCAGGAGAGTTGAACAGTGGTATTTCTGCTTTATTTCAATGCACAGGAAGAAAAAATGCAGGTAGTATAAAAGATGTCATGACTAGAAGAGAGAAAAATGAACACCAAGTACCAAGTACATACAGTGAACAGTGGCAGAAGGAGGTGCTAAAAAATGATTATATATATATACATATATATATACTCAACAACGGTAGTAAATGTCACATATCCGAGTATTACAAACGAGGCCTTCCATATGAAGTTTATTTGGCTGCACAGTCTTAGTATCTCTCGTTCTGATCAGAGGCATGTGCAGGGAACAGTTTCTCTCCTTGTGAAAAGGGGGCGATTTTCACAGGTGTCATCTCATTGGTTTACTTATACACCCACCGAGGCCAAAATGCCTCTCCCAACAAAATTATAATCACTCTGCCTTAAGTATATACAGAATAATTATTATGTCTAAACTTCCAAATTTTCATCACACCACTGCATTCCGCCCAGTCTCCAACTGCACTTCCCTTCTCCTTGACATCCACTGTCACTGTGAATTAGTGATTAGACATCTAACATACGCATTGCATACCTTGACCAGCTCGATTTCTCCTCCCTTATTCTGAAAAAGAGTATCAGGTGCCCCTGTTAGCTCGCTATTACAACCTCCCTGTCTTTCTATGTGTTAAAAAGGCCCTGAAATGCTTTTTGAGTAACACTGGAATTAATTCACTGGGAAAGTGTATTGACTCACAAATTCCACGCCGCAAAAATTTTAAGAATCCGTCCAGTACAAGCGGAGTTACCAAGATTTGTCACACGCTGCAATTGCATTCTTTCTTCTCTCGTCCACGAAAGCGCTGGAAGCTAAGCAGGGAGTGATGGGAGGGGCAAACAAAAAAAAAACGGCACGCGGGCCTCATGACCTCGAGCCCATTTTTCTCTGTTTTTCTTCGAATATGCGGCCTTTTCAGTGAGATCGTGCGTGCGTGGACAAGTGATGGCTTTTTGAGGCGATCTCTGTAACAACCGAGCCTGCCATATTCAAATCAGCTAATGGCTAATAGATGGGTAATATACGTGTGATTTTTGAGCATTTGTTGCCCTTTTTCAAGGTAAAAGAAAGCAATTTTTACTTGATTTTGATAATTTATCATGAATTCCAGGCCGCGTGATGCGCTACAACATTTGGCTCGCGTGTTCTTCGGAGCCTCTACTACCGATTGGCAGCATTTTCTGACCATGCTCAAAAAGTGTTGCTGGGCCCCATTAAAGTACCCCAAAGTTGTTTTTTCTTTCTTTATCATTTGTGTTTGAGCACAGGTTTTTAATGATGGATTACAGGATGTGAAAGTACGGAAAAGAGACACAGGAGACTCACAGTAGGATTAAGTGCAGGATGCCAACTGGTTTAATGTAATCCTCACCATCACATAATATGGCATACATACCTTAGGTGCTTGCATATTTAGGAGATTGTGTATGTCATACCTACTAATAAACAAGGTTTCATTCAATCAGTTAATACTCAGCCCTCCATATTTTTGTGTGTTCTCTTGCAGTCTTCGTTCCTCATCTTGTGAATTCAGTAGCCAGTCATTAGAATTAACCAGCTAGACATCCTAGACATCCTACGCGGCGTTGTTGAGCTGCGTGTTTGATAAGGACAGATTACGCACATGGAAGGCAGCATACCTTGGCCATAGCATTGAGGCTGGCGACACGCTGGACGCGGGCCGTGGGCCAATCCTCGGCTGCCGCCACGGATGCCAGGAAGGCAGGAAACTTGGGCCGCAGGTTGGGGCCGGGGCTCGGGACCGGCTCAACCGTCCGGGCACCACCACCGGCCCCTGGCGGCATGACTGCAGAAGCAGAGCGGCTTCCGCGCAGGTCGCACTGCGACGAGAATGAATCGCAGAGGCCCAGGATACCCTGCGAACGGCGAACGCCTGCTCTGCGCTTGCAGACGACGCGTTCCCCGTTGTGCCTGGCCGGCGGTGGCTCGGGCTTCCGCTTTGGCTGGGGCTTGGGAGGCGGCTGCGCCTTGGACTGCACAGAATGGCACAGACAACGGAACGAGAATGGTTTAACTCCCGTGCCGCATTCACTAGGGCAGTACGCACCGAACTAGTTCTTTAATAGCACCTGCCACTGTCAAGGTTAGCAGGGGCATAAGCCCTGTGGCTTATAGCTCAAGCTGTAAAACATGACAAGGATATGCACATGGGCACTGTACTAGCTGGAAGTCTGAACCAGGACAAAGTAATGTTTTATTTCAATACCACTAGTTTTGGCTACTTCAGCAGTGATGCTGTGATATAATCAGCACTCACTGCATGTTGCAAACAGCATTAGTTTGACATAACTAATCACGCACATGCATGTCCACTCTTTAAGCGAAAAACCCATACGTGTGGCCATGCCCTGCAGAAAGCCTGCAACTAGCACAACCACAAAGCTAAGGAAAGATCTGTGGGTGCAATTGTTGCACGGAGCTGTGCTTTTGTGTTGTGCTGTGCCATGGCAGCAATTTGCTTTAACAAACTTTGCCTGAAGTAGCCCTAGGGGCCACGTCTGCAAAGTCCTGTAATATGCAGGTGATACCCACCCCACGCTTCACTAGTGAACTGTCCTGAAGAAAACCCACCCCATTCCTCAACTGATGAGGTTAATGAGAAGCCAGAGTTTTTTTGTGATACATGTGTTGTTACACAAGCTTGAAGCTCTGAAATGTCTGACAACTCGGATACAGTACAAAAATTCAAGATTTGCTAGCCCACAACATCAATGCTGCATTGAAAACAGAGTTGCTTTTGTGGCAGCGAAAATGTGGCACACCATGGCAACGTAGCTGACACAAAGTCATGCACATCCATACATCACTGCCCTTATGCAATTTTCATTTGACGTGCAGCTGCACTGGCTGCAATGGTACTTCGAATATCACAAACCGTGCACCTGTGTGTTTACCGAAAAAATTGTACCAGAAAGTTTACACTATGTCTTGATGTTCTTACGCTAGCATTACGCTGAAGTCCTGGTGAAGATGGAGAGTTGAACCGGTGAAAAATATTTAAACAGGGGCCAACGTTTTGTCAAGCGTAGCACATGTACAGTGGTCTACACCCATGTCCAGAACAATGAATCGTTCCACTCATAACTACATAACCGACATCTGCAGTCACAAACAAGCCACATCTAAGCATGCCTGGCGCCACCGCTGCAACCTCCCTTGCATTTTATATCTGTTCATCACCACGGATGCAACAACCACTTTGACCGTTGAAAGTGCTCTGAACTGTAGCGTAAAAGGGGAAAAAAACAAAACAAAACAAAAAAGAACTGTTCTCAGTATAATATTATACCATGACGAGAATAAGTTAACAGTACAGAAAGTGCCAATCAGGGCAATTTCACTCTAGTTTGATGCTATATAGTTGACAGTACTTCTCACGGACAAAACAGGCTGTCGCGAGCACTGCTATACACAAGGACAGAAACTGCAAGGTAGGAGCTTCAGTGGCGCTGTGCATGCTCAGATGTTTCCCGCTTTGAACTGGAGATGTTGCTCGTGCTGTCCTGAGCGTGGCATGTCACCGTTTTAAGCATGCGTGTTCACCACTGTACATGCATGCTTCGTACACTTGTGGCCAAAGGAGAGTGGACGAAGCATATGCTATGCAAATCTGTTCTGTGGATTCCCACAATGTGGTAGAAGGGTTAAAGACGGGATGATCACCCATTTGTAGCATGAATCCGGGAAGAAAGCTGCTGATAGTTGCTCAAACATTTCTCCAGGTTTGGGGATAGACATATTGCGGACAAAAGAGGCCGATACCAATCCTGGTCCAGGGATCAATCCCTCGGACCAGGACTAATTTTTTGGCAACTATAAGAAGCTTCCTGTCAGAGAAATGCATATGAATTTCCCTATGCCTTCATGCCACAATTGGGTGCTGGTGCTTGTCTATTCCCTTTTATGAAATATAATTGATTGATATGAGTGGTTTAACATTCCAAAACTACCACATGACCTTTCTGAAGCATACACATACATGTGATCAGAAAGGCAGTTGCCGCCCTGACAAGACTGCTTGTCAAAACGTTGGCTCCAGCGATATTCCTGTTCACGAATTTTTTTTTCCAACGTTTAGTACAAGTTACAGGACATTATGGACGGGCCAGTTTCAAGCATTTTTCACAAGCACATTTCCTTGTTTTTCTTTTTGTGCCTACGAATTTGTTTATGACGATTGGCTAAGACCACACATTACCTCCACAACAAGTATGTTCTCCATTAAATGACGGACCACAGCATGCACGTCAACATACGGAGTATGGCAAGAACAAGATTATGCCGGGCCGGAGGAGGGCTGCGAATGGTGCAGAGCTTCCTACAAAAAGTGGTAAAAAGAAACCCTTATGCTACAATTGTTCGGACATTTTTTGTGATGACAATTGCTAGATATACTCGTTTTCAAGTGTGACTCCAGAAATTTCTGCCAGGTTAACCTACTTCAATGCGATAACCAATGCTGCCGGAAGCTAACTGCCCCCCCCCCCCCCCGTGTACGGAAAACAAAAGAAGAAAGACGACTATGCGGTGCACCGACAACAACATTACTGGGACATCACAAACTTCGTGACGCAGTGCTCCAACGCGGCAATTGACCATTTGCGGAAAAGCGAGCGCCACCTGCCGTCTAAACAGGGAAGCAGCGCTCGCGCTTTTGGTTGGAAAGGCATTCGTGAACTAACATGTGCTAGGCAGCGTTCGGCGGCTCGCGTGCGCTTGTTTTATTGATTTAGTGTTGTTTCTTTGCCGGAAACGTGCGCTGCTCACGGAAACAACGTGATAGAAGAAGAAAACATCCCGTTTGCGTTTGTGGAAACGGGATGGAGCGAGGATTTTTCGCGTTGCAGCCTGAGCAACGACGACGTGTGGCGGTACCTACACTCCGCTACTTCGACCGTTCGCCAGGCTCATCGCGGCTGGTCCTTCAAGGAAGAAGGATACGTCAAACACTTGAAGTTGAATCTCCAAACATCTGATGACGAACTAGGTCTGATGAGAGCGGCGTGCGCACCGTCCATGAAGTCCGGCGTGTATGTAACAACGGCATGGTTCGTCGTGGCTACCGGTGTTATGAAACGCGCGCTGCAGATCCGAGAATGTTTGTTGGGCGCCCACGGCGAACCGTCGGCATTCTGTCTCCTCACAGCAGCTAGCCAAGCATCTCTCTTTTCGGCACGTAGCCTCGCGGACGGGAACCTGTAGAAATGCGTGCTTCCTTTCTGAGTAAAATAATTCGTGCAGCCGTAGGCCACACAGTGCGCTGGCATTTCTGTACGCTGCTAAAGCGAGGCGACTTAGTTCAGTGACGGCACAGAGATGCACGAGTGACGGCCGGCCCGGCTCGTGTTTTCCAACCAAAACCAAAGCGCCCATAGAGGGCGCCAGCTGCGCCGTTACCGCGCATGCGCAGAAGCTTTTCCGCAAATGGTCAATTTCAGCGACGCAAATGCAAGCCATCCACTGTTTTTGTATAGGAAACTCTACGGAAAGCCACGGGGGGGGGGGGGGGGGGGCACGCATTTCACCGCACCTTTGAGTTCCTGCGCGCGGACGTAGCGGCCGCCTTGACCGGTTCGCTGGGACGTCGGGCCGACCTCGCGGAGGTCGTCGACGACGTCGGAGCCCGCGCGGGCGACGACGCCGCAGGCTCCTTCTTGGGCCGCTTCAGCTTGCGTCCGCCGGCGTCCTCCGAGGGCCGGCGGTGCTGCTGGCGGCCGTGGTGCTGGCGCTCGCTCATGGCGCACGACGCTCGGCGACGATCGGCACAGCCGCACTGCAGTCCCGCCAACGCTGGTTCTTCTCCGGGGCGGCCATCACCGCCGCGACAGGGACGACGCCAGGGCTACGAAGAGGGACGCACGCGGAGTGGAAACGAAGAACCGACGAGTGGCCCTGCGACGAACAGGAAAAAAGAGAAAGCCCCCGCCCCACCGAACCAACAGTCAAGACACACACGCACAGTAAAACAAGAGGCCGGCACGTTAGACAAACAAACACTAAACACGCCATATCAAATCATAGCAAAAAAAAAACGTGTAAAACAGCTTCCACAAACTTCACACCTAGAGAGCGCAACATCGAACAACCTGTTAATTGTTAGAGCGAAATAAACAATGCCGATGTCAAGCACACCGGCGAGAAAAAAAAAAAAAAGCAATCAACGCGAGTTCTTGAGTTAGGCCTAACTTTCCCACGCAGTTCCGCATGACAACACGTGCCCCCCGAAAACTCTTTCGTCCCTAACGACCCTTCGTGCCTAGGTTCCACGCCTCGGTAACGAACTCACCTTCCTGCAAGCGCACTACGAAGCAGCGGCGAATGTGGTCCAAATGGAGGCGGATACGCATACGAAGTTGCGCGCGCACCAACACCCAACCCACCTGAGGAAGAGGCGCTCGACTGCTGCAGGTGGGTGCCGTTGTCAGATAGGAAGGAGACGCGGCGCCGAAACGCTTTGTCCCAGAACTCAGCGCTGAGCCGTGCTCCCAACTATAGGGCTGCCGAGGTGTCAGCTTTGCTTTCCCCTCAATCCCTTTCACTCTCTCTCTTTAAACTCCTCTGTTATCCACACCCCTTTTCACAACAAGATAATTTCTGTGCACGGTTGCTCCTCTTTCACACATGCACCGCCGGTAAAGCGGCTATCTATCTATCTATCTATCTGTACATCTATCTATCTGTACATCTATCTATCTGTACATCTATCTATCTGTACATCTATCTATCTGTACATCTATCTATCTGTACATCTATCTGTCTGTACATCTATCTGTCTGTACATCTATCTGTCTGTCAATCTATCTGTCTGTCAATCTATCTGTCTGTCAATCTATGTGTCTGTCAATCTATCTGTCTGTCAATCTATCTGTCTGTCAATCTATCTGTCTGTCAATCTATCTGTCTGTCAATCTATCTGTCTGTCAATCTATCTGTCTGTCAATCTATCTGTCTGTCAATCTATCTGTCTGTCATCTATCTGTCTGTCATCTATCTGTCTGTCATCTATCTGTCTGTCATCTATCTGTCTATCAATCTACCATCTGTCTATCTACCACCTGTCTATCTACCACCTGTCTATCTACCACCTGTCTATCTACCATCTGTCTGTCTGTCTCTATCTATCTATCTATCTATCTATCTATCTATCTATCTATCTATCTATCTATCTATCTATCTATCATCTATCATCTGTCTATCTATCATCTATCTATCTATCTATCTATCTATCTATCTATCTATCTATCTATCTATCTATCTATCTATCTGTCTATCTGTCTGTCTGTCTGTCTGTCTGTCTGTCTGTCTGTCTGTCTGTCTGTCTGTCTGTCTGTCTATCTATCTATCTATCTATCTATGTATCTGTCTATCTATCTATGTATCTATCTATCTATCTATCCATCTATCTATCTATCTAACTATCCATCTATCCATCATCTATCTATCTAACTATCCATCTATCTATCATCTATCTATCTATCTATCTGTTTACCCATATATATGCACGTGTATCTATCCGTCACTCAGTCTATCTGCGTACGCTGGACGCTCTCGTGGCCGCCTCTTTAAAATATGGTATCAACTACAAGCGGAGTGGAAGGACATCAGCGAATGACGAAAGAACTTAGCATGTCATGACATGAACAACGCGACATCCGCTCATCGCGTGCGTCATCAGACCCGTTCCCCAAGTCGCTCGTGGAACAAGCCCACCCCCGCAGTCCGTTGAATCAGGGTGTGCGCCACACGTCATTCGCGGTCCGTATCAATTGCGAGCAACGCCGAGAGTGCCATTAGACGCAGAAAAATCACGATTAACGTCTTCCCGGAAGATCTGCGGGCGCCGTGGTAGGCCGCCTCACTCAGTTCGGAGCTTTGAGACCAACCTTGAGGCCTCTAACGAGCCGTGCGTGGAGGCAGCGCGGGAGCAAGCGACAATTCAGGAGGGGGCCCGGGCCTTCCACTCGTCGGATTTCTGGTAGAGTCATTTCACCACCAAGTCGGCATCGAACAGCGGAATTCTGCGAGGCAGTCAGGCATCCTCACCACAAAGTCGCACCACGGTTTAAACTGCTTCGGATCATACACAGGCTCGATGTGGGGCAATGCCAGTTGTGGTAGCAGCGTTGGTTAACCGCTTTGATCGTCATGAAATAAACGTCGTAACACGCGTACTCGCTAGGTCCAAGCAAGCGCCGGCTAAGCGCTGCTCGAACCCAGAGGCCGGCGAGCGTTCCTCGTGATACGCAGCTCATCGCACCGTAGCACGCACTTCGTTCCAACAGAAGTGTCGTATACAGTGCCCCTAACGCGAGTACTGGCCTCGCATAGAACCACCACGAGTCGCCTTTCAGGTGTCAGTGAAGTTGGCGCGCCTGCAGGTCACCAGCCTTTCCAGTCCGACCGCATATGTCAACTCCTCAATTGACACGATGACGTCGACCCACCTCGTATACCGCTGGGTCCAAAGGCAAGAATGATGCGGTCTACGGGCTGCTCGTCGAATGCTTCGCACAAAATCAATTCCCAAAATGCGTCAGATATTCCATAATTTTTCTTTAAAAAAAAAACCGCCATGGCGCTTCCTGGTGTGAGCACGGAGCAGTCGTAAGTGAAGGAGGGGAAAAAAAAAAGCGCACTATACTGCGACCCATCGAGGTAGGTGAAAATTTCGTTGAAGCGCACTGAAAAACGAACGGACAGAAGAGGCTGCCGAGGCAAGCGCTGTCCTTGTCAGCCTTTTCTGTCTGTGCGCTTCGACAAAATTTTCAACTATGAACGTAATCCAACTTGCCATCTTGCTCCATCGAGGTAGTTTTATCGATGGATGTTTTACGTGCCAAAACCGGGATACCCATATACGAAAGGCGTCGTACAGCGGAGGGCTCGGCACATTTCGACCACCTGGTGGTGTTCTTTGACGCGCACTGCCGTCACCCAACACACGGGCACATCTACCATTTCGCCTACGTCGTGAACCCTGCACGCTTACATCAGCCATCGGCGTCATCAACGGGAAAACGAGCAGTGGCATTAGTGGCCTACGAACGGTAATCGCTCGGTGAGCATGCTACGTAGTACTTCCTCGAGTCACGTAAAACGCGACCACCACGGCCGGCATCGAGCCCGCGACCTTAGAGTCAGCAGCCGAGCACGATAACCACCGATCCTCCGCGGCGAACAAAGCCTCAAGAAGACGCTCTAAGTCTCCGGTAATCAAGCTTTTCAACGCGAAAATCAACGAAATCAAGTAGAGATCAAAACAATGCCGGCAGAAATGGTTTGAGCGTTGTCGGTGGCCATTTTAATTACCAGTAGAACACCGAGTACAAGGGCGGGCCATGCGCGCGCGCCTCGCCTTGGCCGGTAAAGGGCCGCGGGAGTTCCCGCTGATGCAGATCGACTTTCTCATAAGGAGAGAGAGAGAGAAATTGAAGAACAAAGAAAGGGAAGTTAAACAAGCTTTGGCTCGGTCGGCTACCCTACACGTGAGGTGGAGGAGTGGGGGAATAATTTGAGGGCAGAGAAAAGAGAACGGCACTTCTACCCTTGACAATGTGGTCCAATACCAACACCACCCTTGAAGCAAGGAGATGAGAAAAAATACAATAATAAAAGATAATAAAATAAACAAAATAAAAAGCGAGTGGCGACCCCACATAAAAGTTCCGAAACCAGTCGCCGTGACGTCTTAGATTTCGACGATTTCTTCTAGAATCTACGAAGTTCCTAAAGTGTAAAAACTTAGTACACTGTCTTCCAACGTAGACAGACTTCACGCACCAACTTTCAGAAACTTTCGTTGAGATAATGCAGACAAACGAAAAAAAAGGGGGGGGGGGGACGCAGAAAGTTGTCATCGTTCAAACACTTTTAAAAAAGTCTGCATTGAATCTTCACTGAATTTAGATGCGCTGCACTTGCGCATTACACAGACGTGCCGCACGTTGTGCGCTGTTGCGGCCCGAAAGGGGATCGGTGCATTCGCAAGCATTCCATTGCCTTTCACCAGCGCTTTGGTGCCAAACCATTTAATAAGTAGTCGATGTATGCTCCCATTAAAACGAAAAAGTAAACTTCACTTGACTTCGAACAAATCCGTGACGTTACGATAGGATCTTTCGGCAGTAAATTTTAACGTGAAAATTTTGTCATTAATTTTTCTTTATTTACGAAGCTGTGGTGGTAAAACTAACTCACGTAAGGCTGGGTGATGTTATACGTATTAGCATTAGTTTTATTTCTTCACGCACTGCCGTACACGTGCGCCTACATATTGCATGTCGCTCGAAAAGAAGAAAAAGAAAAAAAAGTCTGCGCTCGTGCGCTCTTAGATAGATCAGTTCCCTGTTTGCTGTATGTCGGCTCTGCCCTTCGAACCCAATGAGGCTTTGGCACGCCAATAATGTATAGCATTGTTGCTTTATGAAAATGTCTAAAACATTATTATTATTATTATTATTATTATTATTATTAACGACACCCAAATTTTCGGAGTAATTCATCCAGATACCTTGCACTAATTTATTGCTTCACTTTAGTGCGCCTTAAAATGAGTCCGGGCCCCGCATTGTTCACAGTGGCGACCACCTGACATCACTATTATCCCCTTAAAACAGCCAAGCAGGGGTAACTCGACTAGCGGACGCACGACGCGAAGAAACCGAGCAAGCACAGCCAGGCCGCTGTACAGCGAACGGGAGAGCCGCGTTGCGCTAGTGACCTTCCACGCCGCGGTTGGCGATCGAGGCCACAGCCAAGGAGGAAGAGGAGGAACAACGAGCGGCAGGACCTCCTCGCCCGCCTCACAAACGCGCAGCGGTCGTCGCACCGTGGAGGACGACGCCGAGCAAGCAGAGCGAGGATGACGACGGCGGTGGCCAGCGACGACAACGGGGCCAGTTCGGAGAACACGTCGCGGAAGAAGACCGTCCCTCTCACTCTCCAAGATAAACACGCAAAAAACGCCTCGCCGTGTCAGCGCGTTGCCCGCTCCACGGCGAAGCGAAACGAGCAACTCGGAGCGACACTACAGAGTGAAACAATGAGTTCGCGAGGGGATGGAAGATGGATTAGACGAAAAAACGTCAGGCCTGCGCGGAAGGCGCAGCACAGTCACAGCGAAAGCTATAGAAGTGCGCCCTTTCAGAGCCTTTTCCAAACGTTCATTGGGTAACTACTGCAAACACACTCGCCGGGTACCCACTACAGCATTATTAATAATTTCTGGGTAGTAGGCCGACATTCGCTATGCTATCCTTCGTCATTCTTTAAAAGAAGCGTGGTGTTCGGTAAATACTTGCAAGGAATTTTGTGCCAATTGTTCACGCAGTGCCTGACGACGATGAGGAATTACGCCTGGAGTCGGTATGCGCCACAGTTATTAGGTGATCAAAAACAAGCTGTTGTAATTGGATAAAGCATTGGACGGCCCACTCGTTACGCTATTCGCAGTGTTTAACGCCTGGTTGTTCTTTCGCTGTTCTAAAACGCTTTATTACTCATATTAACGCAATTCCTTCACCGACATCTGACTCGCTCACTGGATTCCGTGCCGACCGGTTGTGCCCCCGCCCGCGATAACCGACGACAGCGTAGCTCTGGCCGACTGGACTCGCCCTACGCCATCTCCTGACGCCGACAAGAGCTCTCGCTGAGTGGTGCCCCGTCCTCGGACTCCTGCGACGGTGTCCATCTTTCCTATCTTCTTCTTATTTCTGCATGTGGGTTTCTCTGTCTCTACTCTGTCTTTATCCCTATCCCTTTTAATCCTCCCAATCATTTTAATCTCTCCTTACCCTTCATCATTCGTTAGCCACTGTAGAGGTGTCGCACTATGATGCAGACAGTTACAGGGCTCACTTTTATCTTCTTTCCACTCATTTAAAAATCACTCCCCCCCCCCCCCCCCTTTTCCTGACATCAAGCCTGCCTAAGGCAAGTTTCCCAACAAGTCCCAAGCACCGGCGTGGCTCGGTGGTAGAATACTGGGCTTGCACGCAGCGGACCCGGTTTCGAGCTTCACTGTGTCCTTGGTACTACCAAGTTTCCCCTCATTTCGTGCGACAGTGGCTACGGACACCGGCGGCGGCGGACAACTACGGTGCCACGCGTGACCCAAGTTATGATTTCATAACAATTTTCGCCGAGAAAATTCTTGCACACGGAAGGCCCAGGCTCTGGGGGAAAGCGTTATTTCTTTAACAGTAGTGTACTGATTGTGGCGTAAATTAAAGAGAACCCAAGCGGACGAAAAAAAAAAAAAATCACTCTTCCGGTCGGTGGCATCTGAAGCTGCGATCTTCGAACTATACGCGCATACTGTCGGGATCCCGAAGCGGCTATACGGCGACGTCGCTACTCTAGATATCCGCTTCGGGGCACCGACACTTATACACTTCCGCAACAGTTTCAGGGTCCACGTAATCAATGCAGAGAAGAAAACTGACTGCTAAACGCCTGTTTTTTTTTTTGAATAACTGCGGAAAACCACAACACCAGGCGTCAAATCTCGGTCGCACCAGCCGCATTTTCGATGGAGACGAAAATGTTGAGGCCCCAAGTGCCTATAGATTTAGGTGCACAGTCAAGAACACCGGGAGGCTGAAGTTCCCTGCTACGGCGTCCCTCTCGATCATATCGGGGTTTACGGAGGTACAACCCGAACAATTATTATTAATAGCTGCTCAAAACAGGAACACGGAAGACAACGAACAAGGCCTCCTGTGGTGTCTCGTTCGTTTCTTCCCGATGTCGAGCAACAAGTCCGCAAGACCGTCTTACAGCCTGCAGTAAACAGTAGATAGCCCCAAACACAGACACACGCACGTTATTTGTTTTGTGCCAAGTGGCCTATGTCCTGTAATCCCAGTGGCAGATTCGGTTAGGGGTGCAGTAAGGGCACCTCCCCCCTTCCCCCGCCTTCCTTCAGTACCCGTCGCCCACCTCCTTCACCAATCAGGACTGATGGGCGGGACAAACTAAAAATATTTATGCTGCGATTGGATTATTGTAATGATAGTCACTGCTAAAAGCATAATCAGAAACACCCCCCTCCTCCCCCTCGTCCGGTTTCACTACAAGCGACCGCCACTCCCACAGAAGTTGAGTGGCTGGAGCCGCCCATGTCTTCCAACGGAACAACCAGGGCGATTCCGAGCTGCTAAGAGGTGACTCAGTCACCGCTAACGGCACTTACCTCTAGACGTAGCTCAGGACACGCTACGCGGTGGGGAAGCCAGCTCACCGAGGATGGCAAGGAGAGGGGCTGCGGCTACTACGGCAGTGCACATCCACACGGTACGACGCAGGGTCCCTCCTGCAAGCAAGAACAAGAGGGGGATATCGCAGCACGTTTGCTCAGAATCAGCAGAAAATTTTCGCTTTTCCAGCTCGTCTATCACGGGGAGCTCACGCACACTGACCAAGAACGCCATCATCATCATCATCATTATTATTACAAAATTAGGGGAGCTTATATCGGAATCGAAAACAAGCTTCGAACAAAAAATAAGAAAAAGCTCATTGAAACATCACCACTAAACGACGTTTAGCCAAAACATCCAGCTGTTGTGGTTAAACCTAACGGAGCATCTTAACGGCAAGATGTTATACGTTGTATCCGTGCGCACAAAGAAATACAAACTGGGCAACCTGCCATTCACCTTCCGGGAAAACGAAGGCAGACGCAGCTCGGCGCGTGAGTGCCCGACCCGCTATAGTTTCCTTCTACGAGATTGGTCATTCTCTGCTGTTGCTCATTTTGCAACCAAACGTCCCTGACGAACACAACTGCCAATTACCCGCCTGTAAGTGGCCCCAATACTATCCTCTGGCCACGGGGCCATAGAGAGTTCGCGATTGGTTTGTATTTATTTCGCTAAAACAAACTTCAATCAATCCAGTACTTCCCAACTGTGTCCTTCCTGCATGCGAGAATCGGACTTTCACCCAGCCGCTTAGCGGCGCAACACTTCAGCTGTTGCACACAACAACAACAACAACAACAACAACCAGGTCATGCGTCCGCATTCGGGGCAACCTGCGGACGCATGGCGGCAACGAAACGAGAAACCACGAGTCCCCCAGATACAAGATCAGCATTGCCGTATCGGGTGCGGCTGATAACCTTATCTCCAGCGCATACACACGTATAAAAACCCGACGTACACGAGAAAAATATAAACATGGGTCGAAAAAAAAATCAGATACATCAACATTTCTACAGAAATCAAACTATGAGGCACAGAAAATTATGTGCGTAGTTACGATCCACAGCCGAAAAAAAAATGTATACACATCGACAACTGAGGAGCAATAAAAAAAAACAAACAAAATCAGGCAATTGTATAGCATATGCGAATTATATAAGATAATAGGAGAAAACACAAATAGATTGAAGAGGAAAAAAACCAGGCACGGTGTGAAGTTCGGTTCCCTTTTTTATTAGAAGGAAGTGAGGGGTGTATGTAAGCGCGCCTCTTCTTCCTCGACAGAAGATACTCCCCGTGATGAATATCCCTATAGTCGTAATGCCAAGAGATTGCTTGCGTCTCGGCCTTCCGTGTCATTGAAGCAAATTTCGCGCTACATCCATAGCAGGTTCGTAGACCACACAACGCCGTCCATCCACATAGAAGCCATTGCACAGAAGCCACTGCGAGACCGCAGCTATATTATATCGACCGCGCGCGCGCTTAGAGCGAAGCCTTTTCGAAACAACGCCGGACGACGCACTACTATATACTGTTTCTCCATCGCCCGGCTCACAGAACGGGAACGAACGCGCGCACACACGTACGCACACACATACAGCCGTGGCGACATCACGTGAAGAACCCGGCTCAATACGTATACAGGCGAGCGCTATTTCGTATACGGCAATGGTTTCGTCGTGAAGGAGCAGACTGAATTTTCTGCAGCAACTTGCGACAACAGTGCATATAGTGATACGTTGCAGAAGAGGTACGAAAAAAAAAAAATGACCCCGTATCTGCATGTTACAGTGCAAAACGGTTATTCGATGCTCTGCGCAAGAAAATCGGTGAATGGTATTCTGGAGGTGTTACGTTATAGAGTGCCTCGAGCAAGCAGCGGAGGCGAACGAGCGCGTCGAATCTCGTCACACGTTTTCAGCTACTTGTACGTGAAGAATGTCGATACAGAATGGAGGAAGCGAACCAGAAAATTAACGGGTAAATACTTAGAAAACAGCAGGGGGCCAGAGAAAAAATAACTATCGGTTAAAAAGAAGGTGAAGGAAACGGAGACCGATATGTGGAGAATTGGCATGATTCAGAAGTCAGCGCTAGACATCTATCGAACTTTTAAGCAGGAAATTGCCAACGAAAGGATCTATGATAATACTCGGGGTAGTTCTCCACTGTTTGACGCCAGTACGGGAGTATTGTGATTCAAGACATATCGGGCCAAATAAGAAGGGGGAGACACGGTATGCAGTGCGTGTGGAGAGGAAGAGGAAACTGCCGAACATATGATAATGTTCTGTAAAGGGCTTCACCCTATAGTTCAGGATGATGGCGGAGAGTTTATCAAAGCACTGGGGCTTAGGGACAGAGAGGGCAAATTAGACTATTTATTTATTTATTCAAAATACCTTACAGACCCAACAGGGCATTGTGTAAGGAGAGCGTAAAAGGAATACATACACGAATTGGTACAATTTCCATACAAACAATAACATGAACTCATTGTAAATTATTATACAAGTCCTAACAGGAATAACAATGAGAAAATAATAATAATAATTTTAATAGGAATAGAACGGCAATGAAAATCAGATGAGTATACGCGTGAGATAATGACGTAAAACAAGCTAAAAAACAAGAACGAATCGTGAAAAGACTTTCCATTATTCAAAAAAAAAAAACATCGTTGAATAATACACAACAGAACTGAATGACATGTTAGTATTCAAACTATCAAAAAAAGTTAAAACGTAAGAGAAAAAAAGCGAGATACTAGTAGTGAAAAACGCTTTAAGCTGGCAGAATTAACTAGAAGGAGGTTATCTGATCGGTGGCTAAAGTCAAGGCACGAGTGAAAATTAAACCCTTCACTGCAAAGTACCAGTCCTCAACCTCACTATTTAAAGGAAAAAAAAATTAGTTCTTGTTCACTAAGTATTACGGCTAGGTGGCGTTAGCCACCACCCGATCTAAAGGGCACAGCCATATCAACCAACCCATTCATCCATCCATCCGTCCATCTATCGGATCATCAACGCACGGCACTCCAGCCAGCAAGGGAATGATGGGTAGTACACGGATTCGTCTTATTCTATATAGCGCGTTGGTATCAGAGTCAGCAATATCTTCAACGACCACCTCCTTTGTGTCATGGCATGGTTATCTCGAGCGAATACGCGCGCTAATAATAATAATAATAATAATAATAATAATAATAATAATAATAATAATAATAAAACTGACGTCACATTTTCACCCGTGATCACATACACCCGTTTATCACCGTCACGATCGCATTCGCGCACACCGCTGTTCGAAATTGAGAGACCGATCGGGCCTGCAGGGGGGATCCCGCTCGAGGCAGACGGCGATAGTTCACCCCCCTCGGCCGGTTCTCTTACACATGTACGTGCGGTCGAGCACCGATAAGAGAGCCGAGTATGCGACAAGGTCGCCGAAGGACAACAATAAAAAAAAAACCACCCCCGTCGCCACTTTACGCGCAGCGTCTCCCGCCACTGTTACGCAACACGGCATCTTCAGGGCGATACACCTCTCCTACGGCGGGGGACGATAAATCTTCAGGTGAGAGCTTCGGAGGTCCCTCACAGCAGCGGCAGTGTGGACGTTGATTGATACGCGGGGGTTTACGGTCCCAAAGCCACCATATGAGAGACGCCGTAGTGGAGGGCTCCGGAGATTTTGACCACCTGGGGTTCTTTAACGTGCACCCAAATCTGAGCACGCGGGCCTACAACATTTCCGCCTCCATCGAAAATGCAACCACCGCCGCCGCCGGAATTCGATTTCGCGACCTGCGGGTTAGCAGCCGAGTACCTCAGCCACTAGGCCACCACGGCGGGGTCGGCGGTGTGGATGTGTTAAGAGCAAACCTCATAAGCGCGAAAATGCACGCGACGCTATGAGCGACGAAACGGGGCGTTCGCGCGACGTGTCGCGTGCTCGTTTTCGCGCGATCGCTCGGTTCTCCAGATTTGGAAACCGTCGCTCATCGCCCGGAAGTGCTGGTCTCAAGCAGCCAATAGCGAAATACCGGAAAAGACAAAGACTACATAGGTGCACGTGACCCTGCCCGAGTCACGTATGCGCAACAAGAAATAACGCAATGTTTATTAAGCATGCGCATATAAAAATGCTGCAAGGCAATAATAAACACTTTCCGTTCCATTACACAACAATATATCTTATTTTTAAATTGGAAACCGCTCACTACGCGGTTTTCTTGGTGCGAGTAGACGGCCTCATGCCAGCAACAGTGGAGTTCGCTCGCCGAAGCCGTCGCGTCAATGAGGTTTGCCTGCGCTAGCGACTGATCGCGCGAAGACGATCTACGTCGCGTCGCTCGTCGCTGTCGCGTGCATTTTCGCGCTTATGAGGTTTAGCCCTTAGAGAGCGTCCACATACAATGCTGTAAATTTTTGGGTTCGGTTCCCAATAACAACAGTTGTTGAAGGGGCCATAACACTTAAACCCAGCCAATTGTGGGTTACAGCGAGATAAAAGCACGGTACTATACAAACTTTGTAGGGCGATCTTGTGTCCGTAAACTCAAAACTAAATGGTCGGCCAAAAAAAAAAAAAATGGCAGCATATCCACGGAGTGAATGATGGGGAGTGGTGCGAAGCATTCGTCCGTCCATTCGTTCTTGCTTCCGTCCGTTCCTGCGTACGTCTCTGTAACCGTCCATGCGTCCATCCGCCCGTCCGTGCGTACGTCTGTTCGTGCGTCCGTCCATGCATCCGCGCCTGCGTCCGTTCATGCGTCCATCCATGCATCTGTCTGTGTGTCCGTTCGTCCATCTATTCAGCACTCCAAACACCACCATCTCGCATCTTTTCATCATATATTCCCCATATAGAAGCACCGCCATCCATCGGACATTCCAAGGACTAACCGAGAGGTGGCACACGCACACTTTCTTACGGCTTGCGCTTCGGGTCTACTTCCCACCTTTAACCACCTCGAGCTCATTCATGGTGTATACTAGTTCACTGTATTCATGGCTATGCGGCCCAACGGTCGCTAAACCTTTCAAAAACCAAGGAGGTTACACCCAGCGAGTATAACGTAGGAACCCTTTCTTGTCAG